TTCGTCAAAAACAGACAAATACTATAAATGGCGATGTATCTCGGAAATGAGTTCTAAAGAGAAAAAAAAATCATAGAATAAAAGTTATTGAGTATCTAAGTCCGTGTCCACTGAGTACTAACAGTTTTAATCTAGATCTATTATATTTCTCAAATCGGAATTCGTTATATCTTCATGAAATTCGTTTTTTTTTTTTTTTTTTTTTACACCTCTTTTCTCAACATCCTTCGCTGCTGGGGGGTGGAAAAGAGTCCTATGCTATATATATAATACTCTTAACAAGAATAGCACAGTAGAATAGACACCCATACTGCTGAAATATTTAAAACCACAGATATCTCCATTACTGATTTCCAGCCATCGCTATTCACTACTGATTTCGAGCGGAGTTCAAATTGATTATAATGAATTTCTTCTCGGCATGCAAACATTATGAGTTTTGGGAGATAAAACCGTCAACATTCTGTAACTCTTCACCTGTTGGCCCTACATCAAAAAGCTATGTATAAAATGTCGCCTCTTTAAATTAAATTTTCATATAGAAAACAACTGCTTTCAACCGACTGACCGAAGTTGTGTGGAGTTTTCAAAACGCAACCGAGCACATCGTCATTTAAGGTGAATTCTCTTTTAGTGACAAATTCTTTACATCATATCAAAGTTTTAGCCGCCTGTTCTTTTGTAAACTTAACCGCCAAATTTGGACTCTTCAATTTATATTTTCGTACAGATAGCTAAGTTGTGTGTTCAGATGAGGTCTAACTAGAAGTTAAGATGGTTACTAGCTTTAAGTATTTGAGTTAAATAAAATGTTTTGTGGCTCTTAGTGTAAATGTGTTAATCCATTTTCCTTAGTTAACGAATCGGAGGCAGTGAAGACTTTATAAGTAATGGTTTTATTCATAATGTTACAAATGGCATCTAAAATACAGAATAATATACTATGGATATAGGGTTGACTACAGGAGTTCACCCCAGGTCTCCTACAGTTAAGAGTGTGACTTCAAGGATATAACTACGTGAGTGATTAGTCCAGAGAAGGATGGGATTTATATTCCCAAGAATATCAAGGGGTGAAGGGAAGAGGATGGCAAAGGAAGTTATCAATAGTTAATATTCTTAAGATGTCTGTGTGAAAGTGCCCTTTGGCTGAAATCAGTTATTGTTCCCTCTTGATAATGGGCCTTCTGTCCCATTAGTACATTCTAGATAACTATTTCTAAGCTATCAGAGATAGCTTGACCTGGCTATCTAGGGCTTTGTGCTTTTATGTGAGAAACTAAAAGATAAAACATGATTCACCAATTGGCATATAAAGTTAAATTAATACTATTATTATCATTATTATTATTTATTACGGATTAAGTCCATTCCATAACTCTTGATAAGCATGTGTTTTAAAAACCATTGGTTACCTGCCTATACAGATTCTATTTGGTAGATATTTTACTGTTATTTAAATTATTGTCTTTTATTTTACTGTAATTAATTTTTTTATTTTTACCTTTTCTCTTCGAGATTCAACTTCATTTAAAATCGATACGATTTCAAAAATTTCTTCTGGCTTTTGTGAAGGCTAATGTGTGCTTAGATTTATTTTGGTGCTTATCATTAGTTTTTGGCTTTCATTGTCAACAGATATTGATCAACTAAAATTGATTGCACCTACGAGCGATTCTAATATCCTTGATAGATGCTTAAAATAGTCCAAAGATAAATATGTTGTAATTCTTTAAGTGCATAAACCCTTCCTCTGCTCTAGGCTCTGTCTTTTTCGTTGGCTATGAAATCTTTGTGTTGAAAACTTAGATCGAAAACGACGGAAACAAATCAAACTTCTGAAATTGCTTTTTGAACAATTGAGATGATTTTTCTTTTAAAATGCACGGTTTTCACATTTAATACATCCTGAACTTGTATTGAATATAGATTTCGATCTTTCAATAAGTTAAAATTAATACTTACTATTTGAGAGCTCTAATGGATCAAGAAAGATAATACAGCCTAGCTTTGCTCAGTGTAAAGCGAGAGGGAAAAGGATAAAACTGATTTCAAAAACATCATCCAGGTGTGTGTGTGGCTGAAGGCCAGGTAGGTGCAATTATATGTGTAAGGGCTCAACGTACTTACTTTCATCATAAAATTGAAAAAATATATACGTTTTATAAGATTTATGACTATTTTATTTTATTTTTTATATTAAGGTAATTTACGAAAGGATGAAACACCTTAGGGCCATCTTCATTGTTAAGCTCCAAACCTTTATCCATCCCTGTCACTAAACAGCACCTTTCCCACATTCCAAGTAAATCTGTTTTATATTACATAATATTTCATTCAATACATCTCTAATTCAGTTACTTTATTAATAAGCCAAAATTAATTAATCTCATACGTTTTTTATTTTATTTTTTATTCCCAATGAATGGCTGGCACTAAACTTTAGTTTAACAGAATAACAGTGTTCAATGCATGGGAGGGGAGAGAAGAGATGGATAATTAGTTTATCTGTAATAGATGAAATACCTATACCAAACTACTCCGAAGTGCTTGCTATATCTTACGTTTTATTAATAAGTGCAAGAGATGTCCTATGGTGCCGAATGGGTCCATCGATTTGAAAACAGCAAATAAGATTTGCATAAAATCAGTTCATGGTTATTGCAAAATTTATAATGACCACCTGAAAGCGCTATAACCATTTTTTTACATTGGTGAATTGCTCAGGGTGGGCGTCCGCTAGCAGAATTCTAACCTGAATTATGATGCCAAGCATCCAGTCATCATTTTAGGGAAATCTCATTTTGCTAAGCTCCTGGTTGACTACTTCCATAGATTTCATCTCCATCTGGGCTCATCTACGTTGCAAGCAGTACTGCAATCTCAATACTGGATTATCTCCATCAAAGGCCTGTGTTACGCAAGGAGGTCTTTGGTTGCATTCATTGTTACAAGGCTTAATAAAAATGGAATGATTATGATATATTAGGATAATTACTTCTGAAGAAAGAAAGTAATTATCTATATGAAATGGCGCTTAAGTGTTTCTTTAAATCCTTTTAAATTTAATTAGAGAACAATACTTTTAGATAATTTTTTTCATTAAATATGGTTATATTCTACCATTTGAGAAGGGGACGGGCTTCAGTCTGAATGCCCCCCTTCCCCGTCTTTGACTAACTTCCTCAAGGTGTCTACGAAACTGTTAGTATAAAATTCCTTGACTATCCCCTATTTAATGAAAAATTTCCCTGACCAATATGTTAGAGGAGACAAATGTTAAAAATTTATAGTTTATAACTATAAACTATATATATATTTATCACTAATTCATTTATTATACATGATTAAAAATTGAAAGATTAGAGTAAAAAGTCTGTTCAGTTTTTTAAATAACAAATATAATGTTCTCGAGGACCCAAACATGTGGGTCATCTTCGGGGCGTGGTTTGAGCAGTGAGGGTGTTTAAGTACTCATACATTCATTTATTGTTTTTCGTGTTAGATATTGGTGGTCAGTATATGGAATAAAAACAGAAGAAAGATAATATCAAATAGCTGATTTTTTCATTTCTGACATGGCCAAGGAACCATCTTTGTTTCGTAGTGGTGTTGATACTTCATGATACTACAAGCTTTTTTGTAGGCCTCCATAAGCTCCCATCATCAGTGGAAAGATTTCTGATACTTTTAAATATTTGAATATGTAGGTCATTGTTAAGTCTATTGAAAGTCCGTTAGTCATATTTTGCGAGGCAGTCTCTTAGCGCTGATCAAATATCATATGTACTGAGGATATGTTGGAAACCTCTCATTTCTCATATAGCTTATTGAATACTTTTTGTGAATTTATCCACAGCTTCTTCAATGTCATCATTCTTCAGAAATTGGAATAGATGGCATTCTAGAATTTAAAATGGTTATTAGCTATAAGTCCTTCTGTTAAATGAAATGGTCAGTAGCTTAAGTCTATATCAGTGTTAAGTCGCTGAGATTTTACACGAAGACTAACGAATATTTAAAATTAGTTTGAGATTCTCTTAATGAATCTTAAACTATTATTTAACGAGGAGAGATACAAAGATTCTGCACCCAACAATTCCAATTGTTGTAAAATATTTAGCTCTCAAGCTGCCAGCATTCTCTTTCAGTTAACCAATGAATAGTTTTCGAAGGTTTAGCCACCAGTTCCTGAGAATTATCATGATACTGACACATTTAATACAGTGAAACCCAATTTCGTAACAAGTTGAGACCCGACTGGTCTTAGCATTTTAAGGTTGTTTATTGTTTTAATGGGTATTCGCCTAGACAAAATCACCCTTTATCACCTCAATCAAGAAGCTCATAACCTTATATAAAAAATAAATATGTCCACAGATGTATATATTACAGATAGTAAATAGTATTGGTATGTTTTTCTTTTTAAAAAACTATGGTTTTAACTCCATTTTGTTCATTATCCATACTACATTAGGGACACCTCTCTTTAAGGACAAAAATTGAGTTTCCAGGATTGTACAGTCATGTGTACAATGAGGTTTCATTGTATCAACTGTTTGTTTTTAAGATATGTAAGAGATAATAAATTTATAAATCTATCTCAAACTAGTTATTTAATTTTCCCCTTCCATTTGTTCTTTAAAAAAATTTAAAATGGGAGGATGGATCTATATTACAACAAATACGGTATCTTAAATGAATCTATAGCCATAATGATACAATTATTTTTTTAATGATACTTGACTTGATACCTTTATTTTAGAATATATTTAGTCATAACCATTAATTTTGATATAAATTGTTAAATGATAATTGGTGCAGTGAGCTATAACAAACCAAAAATGTTTGTGTTGCCACACAATGTCGTTTTTTAAATAAAAGTAGTAATTAATCAATTTTAAAATGACAAAAGACCTTTAGGAACAAAATTGTATTAAAATTGATTAAACTAATAAAACCGTTAAGGATTCGAAAAATAATGATAAACCTGAACAAATAAACTTTTCAGAGATATTTTATTATATGAAACTTGGACACCTACAGCTTACGTTGTTTGAAAATAAAAACAAAATGAAGAATAATCAAAAAAATTTATTTACAATATTTATTTTGCTTTAACTTTCTTCTGTTTAGCAGCCTTCTCAACAGTTTCAGGGTTATCAGCTGCTTCCTTTAGCCTTTTAGCTCTGATTCCAACAAGTCTCACATCAGCCCTTGCCTTTAAAAGTAACAAAGAAGATATTAATATAATAAATATTTATTGTATATTGGATAATTAAAAAAAAAATACATTCAATCAAAATTCACATAAAACATAAAGTTAGATTTTTACGCACTATATTATTACCATACTGTATATACTAACTTATAATTTAACTGATAACTCAACTTGTAATTTAGTATCATTTGAAAAAAAAGTAAATAATAGTTAACTGATAAATCAAGGTGATTGAATATACTAAGAGTTACTATCAGACCAAACTAAAGGAGAATTTAATCTAATTTTCTATTCCTAAACACTATATCAGAATATCATATTTATATTATACAACCCACTTTATTTCCAAAAAACAAATTGATTAACTAGTGATATTTTTGCAAAACCCGGATAACAATTGTGGCTTAATAATATATTTTGAACAAATAAAATTTAATACCTTTCTTAAAGCTCCATAAGCAGAGAAGCTCTTATCCTCAGGAGTAATAGTTCTGGCTTTATATTTTACAACGGTTTGCTTGATCGGCATCACAGGTGAAGATACCTGGGTAGCTAAAGCTTGTTCTTCGGCCTGATAAAAACAAAAACACATTAAACTCAACTAGTCATTACCTCTTCAGCTTTAAAAATAACCAAAGTTATTCTGCTGATATTAAGAATTAACAAATTAATTAATACATACCGAAGCCTCTCCCTTCTTCACCTTCTTGCTCTTCTTGGTTGGGAACAAGATTAGCTTAGCTTGATACTCCTTCAGACGTTGTACATTTAATTGTAAAGACTCGACTGACTTGTTCCTTCTCCTGTGATCGACAGCAATCCCGATAGATCTCGCAAATCCAGGGCACAATCCAACCCTCTGAAAATGACATAGGATTATATGCAGAATGAACATAAACCTAATTTTTCGATTAATTTTCACAATAGTCAAATGGAGAGGTAAAAAACTTATATCTTTATAGCTACAGACATATTCAGTCTTTTAGATGATAGTTATATTTTTTATCTTTTTCACAATAAAAATAGAAGGTCTCTGAAAAAACATTCTAAAGAGATAATCACTATATGGGTAGCTTGGATATATGCAAAAGCTCGAACAGAACTAATTCAAATTTTCTTGTTTAAATAACAGCTTAAAGAGAAATGTTATATTCCAAAATATGTTCATAAGAAAAAAAATGAGCCCTATTCTCGAAAAAAAATAATAAGATAAAATAAAGAACAATTTAAGATGTTAAGAAAATAGGACAGAGAGAGTTAGAGCGGTATCATGTTCGGCAACATACAAGTAATAGAATGGTTTCCTCCAGTCTTTTACCCCAACAATACCCCACTATACCTTCACAACCACTGCTATATTTAAGTTATCTTAATGCCAATATTTTTTCACTTCAATTATATTTCAACTCAAATTTTCTTGATTTATCCGTATAAGTACTTCATTAAAAACAATCAAATAAACATTTGCATTTAAAAATCAGTTGACTGTGACACAGTCGATACTTCTCCGACAATGGCACCCGTTATTTTGCTTTCAGACAACACCGTTAATAAAAAGTAAGATATCGAACAGTTTTCACTTAAAACAGTTACTTCATGAAATTGAATAAAAAATCAATTTACACGATTCTTTATTTTTATTTAAAAAGAATATTTTTCTTTAAAAAGGTCTAGAACACATTAAAGCTCAAATTAAAAGAGCAATTTATGATTATATTCTTAATAAACACAGCTACAGTTAAATAAAAATGATGATGAGAATTTAATGAAAAATTAACAAATAATAAATACAAATATAAAATTTAAAAAAAGCTTTATAAAACCTTTACATGCCAATTTAAGTTAAGTACAATTGAAAAATATCAAACCTTAATTTCTTCTAATGTGAAGCCTCTGCCAGCCCTCAATTTTGTGTGGTATCGCACAGTAGGGCACCTAACAGCAGGACGCAGTAAAGTTGCTGGTCTTGGAGCCAAGGCCCTAGCTTTCTTGACCCTCTTTATTCTTCGGCGATACTTGCGAGCAGGTTGATTAAACCAGGTCTTGATAAATCTTTGCCAATCCTTATGGAAATGGCCATTAGGGATCATATTATTTCCTCTTGGGGCCATATTTGTTTACAACGGTTGTGAATATTCCTACAACACAACATTAATATTATTTAGTAGTATTAATAATGGATCATTTTTTGTAAATTAAGATGCTGCTTGGATCATTAAACTTTCTTAAAAACTATATAATAGTAAATATAGCTAATCTTTCTGTGAACATGAACTAATATAATAACCATCATCATTCAATAGTTTATAATGCCTTAGAAACCAAATCGTACAAATATAAAGATAATTAATAGAATAGAAAGAAAAAACTGTTTAAACCGTTGATCTGTTTATAATACTCTGCTAAAATAATTAACATTATTTAATAAAGTATCAGATTGATAACAAAAGATGTTTTTTTTTTTTAAATAACTCTTAGCTATATTTACACCATTTAATCATTACAAGGAATATTGAAAATATTTTAAATAAAATAAACTGTTATATCACTATATTAATGCCTTACTATCATAAAAAATATTAATTGAAAAAAAAAGCACTGAAGAACTTATAACTGTACATTTAAATGTTCTTAAAAACTTGATTTTAACAATAAAACTACTTGGATGTTTCAGCAAGTAAAACAAATTTTTTAAACCCTGCAATTGTTTGATTTAGTCAATTAAAACGTTTTATTGTTAAGTAGCGCAGAGTTGATTTTTTAAACAATTCTGATAATGCTAATCAATCAATTATTTGAACAAAAATTAAAATTATTTTAATGATTGTAGGTTACAATATGACACTTGTATTGTTCATTGTTAATATTTTAAGGGGACTAAATGTCTCACTACGGTCAATGTACTGGTACTGCTATTGGAAAGGAACACATAGGTGGAGGAACTAGTCCGGCAAATGGGTCTTGTTATATACTTCAGAGAAAATGACTGGCATCTGAGGAAAGGATAAACCTAATGAGGCAATATTCATATATCTAGGTAGATATACCTCAGTCTTTCAACCCGAGATTTTAGCCATCGATTTCTGTGCCCAATCACTTATTAAGGAGGGCATTGTGAATAGATTGATAACAATATACACGGATAGTCAAGCGGCAATTGGAGCCCTGAATAGTTGTGCAAGTCGGTCAAACCTGGGGAATGAATGTAAAGGTAGTCTTAACATTTTACGTTAGTAGGAGATAGCAATCCCAACGGGAAAAGAAGGAAACAATGAAGCTGTTTAATTTAAACAGATACAGAAACCTGTTTCATCTAAACAGCTACGCCCGTAAACAATTTTCTAAAACAGATTGAAACAACTGTTTAATTTAAATAGCTTCTTGAACAGATACAGAAACAGTTCAGTTCTATTTGATCATTAATTTCACTAATAAATTTATAATTTTAATGTCACTTTAACTTATATCAGCAATTGTAAATTTTTTTCGTCTCACAGTTGATATATTATGGTAAAATTAAAAAAGGTATGATTAAATTTAACATTTAAATTGATAATTGTTTTGAAGATACTTTACTCTATAAATATTATGGCTATAGGATAATTTTTTTCTTTTTTCTAGTCAAATTTCAAAACAGACAAATCTGTTTTTTGAAATTAGTAGAAATTGTTGCAACAGCTACTGATATTAAACTGTTTTGCTTATCAGTAGTTCCCAACCTCTATATCAAGCTATTAGCTACGAAACTGCATCTTATACATTCCAAAAGTAGGAACCATAGCCCAAGAAACAAAAAACTTGTTTAACACACTTGCCATCATAACCAGAACACTCGATCTATGCACCTCAATTATAAAGTCACAAATCATTATAAAAACAAACCCCAAACTCTTCCAATCAATTTCTCCAAAATAGACTATCCATTCTTTAGTTCTATAACAGAAAACACTACACTAGAAATATTGCCTAATAAGTATAAAAACTTTATACAGACATATCTAAAGATAATAAGGTTGCAGTCAGGATATAGGATGTTTAATATAACCAGGATACATCAACATATCTAAAGATAATAAGGTAATATACCTAAAGATAATAAAGTAATACATCCACAAGCCTCTCCAGGAAATTTAGCATATACAGTGCTGAATTAAATACTGTCACTGAAGCTTTCAAAATAGCCAAAAGAAAATATAAAATCTTAACAGATTCCGCTTTTGTAAGCAATTCACTCAAAAACATAACAGCATATTTCATCCTACCTAATAAATAACATAATACAAGAAGTTCATCATTCAACAAATAACAAATTTAAGGTTTAATGGGTTCCAGGTCATATCGGTTTGTATGGAAATTAATGAGCTGATATGATATCAAAACGGAGTTCCGGAAAAGCAAAAAATGAATAATTACCTTTACAGAAAATTTTTAGATGAGTAAAAAAAAGACTTTATTAGTGAATGGCAGGATAGATATGCTTGGTGTTAAATTCAAAAAGGCCAAGATCATTACACGATCTTACCTAACGTCTCTTTAAGCCCATGGTTCTCCAATACTTGTGTTACCGTAAACAGAAAAGAAGTAGCCATACCTACAAGATTAAGAATAAACCATGGTCGTAAAAATCATGCCTTGACACTAGTTAAAGTTAATAACAAAGACCAATGCCCGAAATGCAATTCAATCAAGGACCCTTTACACATTATGCTAAAATGCAATTATGATAAATTCCCAAATAAATATTCCTTCATCCAAAACAATGGCGTTTTCATTCAAGGGTTGGCAGATCTAGATAGGGATATCGTTCAGTCATTATGGAGATTTATAGAGAAAATTAAGACTAAAAAAAAAATTATATCCATACCTTTATTACTTGATTATGTAACAATAGGAGCAATATAGGACTTCAATTAAAGTCTTGGGCCAACAAAGGAAAAAAATAACAAATTCATTTCAATATTCAATAACATCCATGAAATACAACCAAAATTTAACAATAAAAAGAAATAGAGGTGATAAATTATATAAATAAAAAATAGATGGGAGTAAAATTTTGAGAGTCCAAGTCACCTCCATACTCTTTTAGACAAACTCAACAACATTCCAGATTCATAGTGTACTCAATATAAATTAGGCTTAAGTGACATCCAGATATGATACTTGTGAACTAATATCCAAATCAGAGTCTCGAATTTCTGACAATTCATTTAATTAAAATACATACATTAAATGTGAAAAACAAGATTCTTCGATAGGCAAAGCTAAAATATATTTGAACTTTTCAATAGAAATGTTAGGCTAACAGCTAGCAAGAATTTAAAAGATTATAAAGAATCTACTGAACTTAATTGTAATAAGGATCAGAATATATCGTAAACATCCATTTAAAAGGGAAAGGACAAAAACCTTCTTGACCGGTATTCATGATAAATATAATTTGATTGAAATAAAGTATAATAAACTGAATCTATAAATTATATGAGAGACTAAGTCAGTAATTAATCATATTGAGAACCCAACTGTATTGAACAACCATGTTATATACTAAGCATAAAAAAAAAACCACCGTCTAAACTAAAATTCTGAACTGAGCTGCAATTTTATATAGAAGCTCATACAGTTTCAACTAACAATTCTTATTCTGCATTAGTGTAGAATACACCATTAACATTTCATTAACTTTGATTATACAAGTACATTGGAGGATTATTTTTCTTAAGTCAATATCTTTAATTCTGCAAAATTATGATGGGGGTATTTCAGAGATTAGTCAAATTTCAATTTAAAGCACATTATTCAATCTATGAGAGCCAATTGCTTGGGTCTAATAGTGCCATGTTAAACGGAACCAAACAAATAAACAAACATGTAACATATAACAATATTTAGTTTTATAAGAACAGTAAATACACTTATATAAACAAGAGGACCATGTGGCAGTGTATTAGTCTAGATGTGCTCAACAAGAATAACTTAAAACAAGACTAAACATATTGTTAATGAAGTGTAATATTAAAACTGGACCAAAAAAGATTATAAATAAAACTCAGAATTAATGATTGAATTAATCAATTTCAATAACATAATTGATGTAGAAGACAAAATAATAACCTTAATAAAACTTTAACCATGAAATATCTTCCTGAACTATTAAGAAAAATGTGTAGAATTTGAGTAACTCTTTTTTATTTTCAAGAAAAATAAACTGTACAATATCAAGGAGATAACCAACATTATACTAATATTAATACAGCTGCTAAAAAAAGTATTATAGCTGTTGTTAACCCTTACATCATAAAAGTAATCACATTCAGGGCAATATTTCAAAATATAGATAATTTATTGTATGATATAAAGTCTTGAATACGAAAACTAAAATAAAGAAACTATTTATCATGTAATGACAGTAACAAACAAAAAGTTGGAGGCACTTACAAAACCACATGGTCTCAACAACTTAGTTAACAATAAATTAGTTCAGTTAATATGGATTAATTAATGTTACAGACATTTAAAATGAAAATGTCAATAACGATCAGAGCTATACTTACTGTTAAGACAAGATATAAAACCCAAGAAACAAACTACACAATTCAACGAAGAACCGCACCGTCCCTAGCAATGTGGCGAAGCTAAAGACTACATAGAGGTCAGGGTGAACGCATGATCGTTTCCAAAGAGAATCATTTACTCAGGGCGCAAAACGTTAAATAACATTACTATTTAACATAAACGTTAAAAAAGTACTAGTATTCTATTATCACAAATATGAAGATTTATTGCATTTAACAAAGAATGAAACAATTTAATAAATATTATTCCCCTACTTACCAAAGCATATTTGCATACTCAGGTTTTTAAAACCTAGCTAACATAAGGAAATAAAAACTTCAGAAAATTTCATAAAATTTAAAAGTATATTAAAATGTATTAATAAAATTCGTATTATAAATATATAAAACCTCTTAGCTTAATTAAACAAAAATTAAAACAATAAAATTTCCTTGAAAGAAGTATTTGCCCCCTTACGATTATGTTTATTTTTTTAATTCAAAAATAAATTTTGTGCTTAATAAAAAGTCCATTAGAATTAATAATTGCCTGTAGGCGTCGGTGTATAGAGTGGTCAAAATTTTTAAACGAATCTAGATTGGTTGTATCCCATTCTAGAACCAATAGTTGCTTAAGATAGCGTCTTCCAGTGATATTATTTTTCCTACATTTCGACCGAGAATTCAGGGGTGCCCAGAAAGGGCTTTTATGGCTCAAGTTGAGCCATCAAAATTAATGAGGAGTACACTTTTTGAAGGGGTTTTCAATGTTTGAGGGAGGAACATTTCGAAGGGGTTATGAATTTTCAAAATGAAAAGCTTCAAAGGAAAAGACAACTGGAATCATGTAACAGACCACAGTATGTGTAATGGTATACAATCTACAAATATTCAATTTCTACTTTCATTTGCACCGTTTTTAAGAAGAAGAGGGAAATAAAATATCTTGGGAGCCTATCCTTCATTCTTATCCTACGATTTACCACTCCCATTCTCCTTAGGTCCTCTTCCACGCCACTTTTCCAACATTTTCTCGGTCGTCCTCTTTTTCTTTTTCCGAGAAATTCCTCTCGAAGTATCCTTTTCGTTGATTTTTCATCTGCCAGTCTTTTCTACGTGTTCTAGCCTACTAATTCTTCTTGCTTTAATAAAGCGTACAATATCGTCGTGCTTGAATAGTTCATCCAGCTCCTGATTTGTCCTTATCCTCCACTCTCCTTGTATGCATAGGGGAACAAAAATTCGTTTCATGATTTTTTCATTTTAAAATCCTTAGTGCCTTCTGGTCAGCTACTTTCTACATTCAGGCTTCGGCTCTTTAGCATACAACTGGTCGAACCAAGGATTTGTACATTTTGAGTTTTGTGACTCTGGATAGGAGTTTCGTTTTAAAAACTTTAACAAACCATAGTACACTCTATTGCCTGCCATGATTCTTTCTCTTATTTCCGGGCTAATCAAGTTTTCGCTATTGACTTGCGGCCCAAAATACGTGAAATTCTCCACTGCCTCAAAAAAGTATTCCTGGAAAACAAAACCCTCTGGCTTCTTTCTTGAATCCGAGGTCGAGACTACCATATACTTTGTTTTCGTGTCGTTAACTACCAATCCATCCTTACATTCTACAACCAATGTCGATAGAACCTCAACTAATGCTACTTTGCTTCTACCTTTAATTGCAATTTCGTCAGCATATCCCAATATTTGTCTAATTCGGCATGCTAAATTACCACCAGGCGTGATCCCTTTAATTGCATTAGAAGCGCCAAAACTCTCAACAACCTCATCAAAATCACATTCCTTATATTCCTCCTTCATCACAAGCCACTGATCTTACCAGTTTGTTGGCATCTTTTCTCACCAAATTCAAATCCCTCGTCACCCCATTGATATCTCTCCTTACAAATCTTGTATCTCACCTCATCCCCCCTTTAAAAAATCCTTAAATGAATTCCATCAAACCCCTATCCATTCTCCTTTAGAATGCGAATGGTGTTAGAAACCACACTGACGAACTAACAGCTTTATTGCGAGATAAGAACGTCGATGTAGCCCTTATTACAGAAACTCGACTGACCAAAAAACAAATTTTAAATATACCTCAGTACTCAACATATCGTACTGACCATCCAGACGGTAGAGCTCATGCCGGCATTGCAGTCATTGTACACCAATCCCTCTCTCATCACCTACTCCCATTACCTACTCAAGATTTCCTACAATCCACTGCCATCATAATCAAAACCTTCTCGTTTCCTATTACCCTAGCATCAGCGTATTGCCCTCCCAACCAATCCACCTCTAATATCAAATTTAGTTCCTTCCTTAATTCCTTAGGACACCATTTCATCCTGGGTGCAGACTTAAACGCCAAGCATCAGCAGGGTTCAAGAACTACGAATTCTCGAGGTCGAACACTGCTGTCTGCACTCAACTCCCAACATTTTAATCTCGCTCCCCCGAACTCTCCTACCTACTGGCCCACTGATCCTAACCGTAATCCCGATATCCTTGATTTCTTCATCCATAGTGGTTTAGGTCCCCTAAACTATTCCATTGCACGCCTTGATGAACTTTCCTCAGACCACAGTCCATTAATATTCCAAGCATCACTAGCTCCTATTTCTAAACCCTCTCCACTGTCCTTTATCAGAAGCCCAGTCAACTGGAAACTCTTCCATCAAATCCTTTCCGATCAAATTGACCTCAGAATAACCCTGAAAACCCCAGAAGACCTTGACAATACTGTACATTCCTTAACCACCATCATTCAACAAGCAGTTTGGACTGCTTCCTCTCCTAATCGTTCCCCTAGAACTTCAAAGAAAAATAAATTACCTCATCACATCCTCGAACTTAATCCATACCAAACGCCGTGCCAGATTGTTATGGCAACGTACCAGACATCCCATTGACCGCAGCTCCTATAACTATCTCTGTAAACAACTAAAGCAAGAATTATCCAACTTCAAATCCCAATCCTTTAACTCCTTCCTTACCTCCCTCTCTGCTCACGACAACTCCCTCTGGAATATCACCAAAAAAATCCTAAAAACCCATAATATTTCCCATCCCCTCCGTCGAGGTGATGGCTCCTGGGCGGCGTCTGATGAAGACAAAGCTGAGGAATTCGCCAAACACCTTTCCAGTACATTTACTCCTCATCCCGAATCCAATCCGACCCACACTACAATAGTAGAAGAATTCCTTTCTTCACCAATTCCACTCTCTTTACCACCAAAAGCAGTTCATCCATCTGAGGTCAAATATCATTTACAAAAACTATCTTCCCGCAAATCTCCTGGATACGACCTTCTAACCCCACAGATCCTTCATCAACTACCACCCAAAGCAATCATATTCCTCACATACATATACAACTGCATCCTAAGAACTACCCATTTTCCTCTCTTATGGAAACATTCCACCATCGTCCTTTTCTTGAAACCTGGCAAACCTTCCAATAATACATCATCATATAGACAATTAGCCTACTCCCAATCCTTTCCAAAATTTTTGAAAAAATCCTACTGAAAAGAATCCTACCCATAATAGAATCCCAAAACCTTCCAACCCACCAATTCGGATTTCACTTCCAACATTCCACTGTCCAACAAGGACTCCGACTTGTTGACCACATATCCTCAGCCCTAGAAAGTAAAGAGTATTGTTCGGGGGCATTCCTGGACATTGCGCAAGCTTATGATCGGGTATGGCACGCCGGACTGCTCTTCAAGCTCAAATCCCGTCTACCCCATTCCTTATATCTTATCCTCTGATCCTACCTCTCTGACCGCTCCTTTCAAGTTCGCTATGGTACAGAATCCTCCAACTGTCATTCAATCAAGGCTGGAGTTCCTCAAGGCAGCGTCTTGGGTCCCGTCCTCTACATTCTGTTTACCGCTGATATTCCTACTCATCCTGAAACACTCCTGGAAACATTCGCTAATGACACAGCCATCTTATCTTCCAATCCAGATCCTGAAATAGCGTCCTTAAACCTACAAAGTCATCTCTCTCTTATCGAACACTGGTGTAATAAGTGGCGAATCCAAGTAAATGTATCCAAATCCAAACATATTATTTTTATCTTTCGACGCGATTCCTGTCCACCAGTCTACTTCAACTCCATAGCACTTCCTCAGTCCGGTATCGGGGCTTTGTTCTAGACAAAAGACTAACATGGAACCCACACACCAGACTAAAAAGACAACAACTTAACAGACGATACGGACAACTATATAGACTATTGAATAGAAAATCTCAACTTTCAGTCGACAACAGACTATTAATCTACAAGACAATCCTGAAACCTATTTGGACCTACGGAATAGAACTGTGGGGGACAGCAAAACTTTCTAACATCAAACGCATTCAATCCTTCCAGTCTAAAATTCTCCTAACAATAGTCGATGCTCCCTTCTATGTATTCAACAAAACCCTCCATAATGACCTTCATATCCCATTTGTTATTGACCTAATCCCAGAAAATTTTTCCAAATTACACCAGAAACTCACTCATCATCCAAATCCTGTAACACAATCCCTATCTAGCTCCAGCTATCCCTACAATCCTCCCCGGAGGTTAAAACGGCAGTGGCCCCGCGACCTTTTGTAAATATGTATATATTGGATTACTGGCAATGGCCAGATTCTCCACTCAAGCATGAGCGTCTGTTGCTATAGTGCCCTCCATCAGTTTTCACTGGTTTCAAATAACAGTGACGCGGCTGAGAGAGAAGCACTGGGATCTCCTAGAGTCCTGCCTCGGCTTCCACGTCGGGGAATAAGGCATGACTCAGAGTCCCCTGGGTGAATGTAAATATTGTACATAGGTGTGAATGTGATTTATTTACTTTAATTTCATATAGCTTTTATCTATTATTTCATTATTATTTTTTGTACACAGGCATACCAATTTACTTATTTTATTTTTTTTATATTTCTTTTTCTTTATTATTGATATTAATTGTATGTACATATTGTGTGAATGAATCGTGTAGCCTTAATATTAATGCCCTTCAATGTGGCAGAATGTATTAATATTCAATAAAGAGAGTTAAAAAAAAAAAAAAAAAAAAGTAGCGCCAAGTTCAATAGAATTGCTGAGATTGCGTCTCCCTGCC